TAACGTAGGGAGAAAAGGCTCCCACCTCCAGGAAAAATGTGTGATCAAAAGGCCCAAAAGCAGAAGCAATATAAAAGCAGAGAAAAGAACCTCCACTTTGAAACAAAAATAAAACTGTGGCCAGCTGTCCAGTCGCCTTGCTACATAGGCAGTGTGTGTGCATCGTAGAAGCCTCCAATAGTGGGTAGGGGTGTCCACTCACTCAGGCCCCTCCTCTAGTCACTACCATAGAGGTGTGCAGATAGATACTGAGAAGTTCATGGGAAAAAGATTGTTTACTATTTTTGTCTCTTAAGGTCAGTTAAGTATCTGCGTGTGCACAGCATAATTCTTGAAATAGTTGCATCCTTTTGTGTTGGGGTTTTACAGAAGTTCATATGGTTTGTCTGTCAGGCCAAACCTGCTTTCATTCTTGCTGGGTTGGCAGGGGTTAATGGTTCTGCACAAATTAAGTTTACAGCTGGGACCCACAAGCAGAATTCAAAAGCAGCAACCAAAGAATTTGCCCTTGGACCGAGGGGGCTCTTTCTCGCTGTGCTGTGGTAAAGCTGTGGTCTTAAGGCTGGACTAATTTGGGGGTGCACATCCACCCTCCTGAAGGCTTCCAGGCTGGGCAAAGAAGACACGATAGGGAAGAGGAGGGAAAAAAAAGTGTAGAATCCCCCCACACCTCCTTTTGCAAATGTCACTGTGCAGCTTTTAGCACCGGTTCCCTGTGCCTGTCTGGCTGTAGCCCCAAGCCCTCTGACCTCTGCCCAGGCAAGATGGCCACAGAGGGAGTCTTGTTTCTTGACCGAATTCTAAATCACAATATTTTCTTTTATACCATGATTTTTACACTGACGGTTGTGGGAAACTGACACCCTGACCCTTATGCTAGATCTAGAGCTCTGGTGCAGTTTCGTCAGAGAGAGCCATGTCTCTGGGTTTTCAGGCCTCCCCCATGGAGCCTGTCCTACCTTACTCTGCTCTGCTGCTGCCAAACCGGAAGTCCCTAGATGTTGTTTTGTAAGGTAATTCTATCACACAGAGAACTATCTCTTAAGTACTCTGGATTAAAGACATTCATTCATTATGCAAAATAAATTTTTAAATAAAAAAAATAAGAATAACCTCTTTTGAAGGAAATTAAACTAATATACTTCACATGAGAACGTTAAGAAAACTAAGGAATAATTCTGGGGGTTCTTGCTAAATGCTTTCATTAAATAATTCTGAAAGTAACTGATGAGATCAGTATCATAGTTGGTCGCCATTATATAGATTCTGTGTCAATCTTCTCCCATCTCTTGGGATTTCTTAAGTGTGTAGTTCACCTGAGTCAACTGGATGAAGCATCAATTACAGGAAGAAAAAGAATCCCCACCAGCGCTCAGGGATAACAGAGTCAAAGCCAAAACCTCCAGAGAACCAATTAATATCAGTTTCTAGACTTACATTTTGATCAAAGACTATAAGGTACAAGTCAAAAGGGACATTTTTCATTCATTATTGTTCAGATTCTGTACCTTGCCTGACCCAATCTCCTTGATGAAGTGTGTGCTCTAATGTAAAGCAACATTTGTGATCTCCAGAGAGCAGGTCTCCCCAGTGAATGGTCATGGTGCCATCTTCATCCTCATGGGCAGTAGCAGGCCGCTCAAACAAGGATATCAAGGCTGTTGTGAAAGAAATTGCTTGAACCTGTGAGAGAGATAACATTAAAAGAAAAACATACTTTGGCAACATAATTGTTGCAAGAATGTTCTTTGTTGTTTAAGATTAATAAAGAATAGACATTGACTTAATAAGAATATCTTCTGTATTACTTTTAATATGCAGGCTACCATGTCACTGCTGTTGAATGGATTCCAATGACAGAGTAGAACTGCTCCCTAGCATTTCCAAGGTTGTAAATATTTACAGGAGCAGAAAGTCTCATCTTTCTCCTGTGGAGTTGAATTTGAATTCAAACTCCTGTGGAGTGGATTTGAATTGCCAAGCTTATGGTCCACAGTCCAATGCTTAGCCCGTTATTCACCAGAGCTCCTAAAAATGCAGGAAGTTACATTAAAAGACAGAAAATGCTACAAGGTTGGTAAAACAATTATCAAGGGTAAGTACTGAACTGCAAAACACAAGGTCCACAGTTCAAGTACGCTAGCCACTCTGCAGAAGAAAGACAAGGGGCCTTCTGCTCCCGTGAAGATTTAAAATCTCAGAAACTCTACACAGGGCAGCTATCTGATTCAGAACCAACTCTATAACAGCAAGATGCATTTGTGACTTAAAACTGTAAGAATGAAAAGTTTTCACAATTATGAAAGGAAAGTGTTCAAATTAGACTACTTTGGAAGTCAAAGATGAATTCTAGTGTTACTCAGTAAGTAATAGTTTTCCAGAAGTCTGTGTGAAATTTGAGAGGAAGACAAATCATTGTATCCAATGTCAAGGTTTCAGTGCTGACCTCCCTAATGCATTTATCCCTTTGTTTCATGATATAGGACATGATCATTCTGTGGAAGGCTGGTATAGAATGAGTCTACAGATTTATGAATGAAAGTCAGACCAATTAATCTGAAAGAGCCATGAATGAGAAATTTAGATATTTATTATGTAATTATTTAATATTGTAATCTACAATATTAAGTATCCTGTGGTAAAAAATTGCTGGCATTTTCTTTCTAAACAAAAAACTAAGACTATACATATACAAGGAGTCCTGGTGTGGTGCTATCGGATAAGTACTGGACTGCTAACAGTAAGGTTAGTAGTTCAAACACACTAGCCAATCACTGGAATCCCTATGTTGTTGTTAAGTACCATGGAGTCAGTTCCGACTCATAGTGACCCTGCACAAGGTTTCTGAGGCTGCAAACCTTTACGGGAGCAGAACGCCTCATCTTTCTCTCACTGAACAGCTGGTAGTTTCGAACTACTGACCTTGAGGTTAGCAGCCCGATTCATAACCACTATGCTATACAAGGTCGCTATGAGTCGAAACAGACTTGACACTTAACAAGATACATATATAAGAAAACTACAATGAGAATTGTTTTTTATAATCAAAGAATCTGTGACCCAATCTGTCTTTTCCATGCCCAACATGCAGGATTTTATCATTTATAGTGTAGTCCAATTAGGAGGCTGCAATGATTGCATTTCCATTTCTATTTTGAGCTTAAGTCTGATGATTAAAGTCATAGTGTCCAATCTTGTCCTTTTCTCACTTACCTTTCCAGTTATGTCTCCAAAGGTAAGAAGTGATTCATTGGCATCAAGAGGGTTATACCAATAATCCATGCAAAATGGCGTTGCTTTCAGGCCTTGAAGTTTGTATTGACAAGGAAATTCTTCTTTGGACAGCAGATCATAGAAACAAATCTCTTTACTGGTAAACGCCACTGCTATCTAAAGTAGCAGAGGAGAAAATTGGAAAGCATTTATGATTAACTTAGTGTAATCAGTATGCAAAGTAGATGTACAAATCTTACCACAAACTCAAACTTACTGGTAGGCTTAGCTTTCTCTAGGCCACATACACACAAAAAGCAGGTTATGGTGACCAACACAATGTTGTTGTTGTTGTTGTTGTTGTTAAGTGCCATCAAGTCGTTTCTGACTCATAGCAATCTTGTATATATAGGGCTTCTGAGGAAGCTGGTGAGCTTGAAAACAGACCTTTCAATTCACACCGACTTTGCAGTCCAATGCATTAACCCGCACAACACAGGGCATGAAATAATGAAACAGTACTGTCCAAAGCTCTTTTTTTCTTTTCTCTGAAAGCTTCTAACAATATCACAGAAGTGTAACACAGTGGTACAAATGTGCTTTATTTTAACTTTGGACTGTAGCCAAGAAGAAATGTTTCCCATTAAAAGCATTTGAATATGTTTTCATTCCTAGCACCACTCCAAACACCCATCAGACTTCTCCATTCATGGGAGACTAGAAGGCAAATCTTAAAGGAAAGACAAACACACAGAACTACACCATGCACAATCAGACCAAGAACTTTACAAAGTATGTTCAAGCAAGCAGAGGCTGTCACAGAAATAAACTAATAAACACTCTGTATGTAGCTTTCCTAAATACACAAATCTAGTCTTGGTGTGGCACTGTGGGTTAATGCGCCAGAATGCAAAGCCATTTGAACTGCAAGGTCGACAGTTCAAGCTCACCAGCTGCTCCTCAGAAACTCTATACAGGGTTGCTATGGGTCAAATTGACTCAACAGCACTTAACAACAACAACAAGCTATACAAAAAAGAAGAAATTATTTCACAACATAAAATTCATTTTTGAAAAAAATACCTTGCACAAACTTAATGAACATGGCAAAAATATTTGATGCACATCTAATCATTAGAGGGTAATTATCTAGAGATATAAAAACAGAAACAGTAAAACATTCAAATAATAAATGGACACTCTAAAACAGAAAAAAATTCCTATTAAAAATAGAAAAAGTAAAGCATTCAAATAGTAAATGGTCAAAGAACATGAAAGGCAATTCACAGAAAATATAAATAGCCAACTACTATGAAAAATGTGACTTAATGTAGTAAGTGGTGAAAAAATGCATATTAGCATAATTATGACGTTTCATAATAGCAAAAAATTTAACATTGACAATATTAAATGTTAATAAAATTTGAAGACTCTACCTTTTTGGAATCCTATTTGTATATTTCTCAAGATTAAAAAAAATGCTTGTACTTTGACCTAGTAATAATTCTGTGCCTAGAAATTCTAAGTATGACCATATATGTTAGATTAGGCAAGAGATTAATGTTGACCATAAAATGAAAATGGAAGCACCTAATGTGTTGTTGTTATGTGCCGTGGAGTTGGTTCTGACACATAGCGACCCTGCACAGGGTTTCTGAGGCTGTCAATCTTTATGGGAGCAGAAAGCCTCATCTTTCTCCCACTGAACAGCTGGTAGTTTCCAGCTGCCGACTGTGAGAATATGTTAGTATACCAGAAAATGATTAAATAAGAAGAATTACTTTATATAAACTACATTTAAATTTCACAAAATAAAGGCTAAAAGTAATGAAAAAATATATACATATGTTGTTGTTAGGAGTCCTGGTGTGGCTCTGTGGGTTAATGCACTGGACTGCAAAATCAGTTTGACCCTCAAAGTCTCCAGGTTCAAGCTCACCAGTCACTCCTCAGAAACCAGATACAGCTTCGTTATGGGTTGGAACTGACTTGACTCATAGTTCTGACTCATAGAAACCCTCTATAGGGTTTATAAGGAGCAGCAGGTGGATTTCAACAGCCAATCTTGCAGTTAACAATCCAGTGCTGATCCTAACAGTGCCACACCAGGACTCCATATAGGAGGATGAGTCAAAAATTATAGACACTCCAGTTATATTAAAATACCTGTCCATGTCCATGACTGATGACAACACTGAATGTGCATGTGAAATGATGCTGTTGAATAGATGAGTGACAATGCATTATGTGGCAAATCAGCCATGGCTTTGCCTATTAAATAATCTATGACAGACTTGGGTTTCAAAAAGTTTGTGCCAGATGGGTACTGAAACTCACAGAAGAGAATAAACAGAAGCATCTGGACATCTGCAAAGAAAATTTGGACCAATACTCAAAGCACGGTGAAGGTTTCTTTTAAAAAAAACTGTAACTGGTGATGAGACATGGATTCATTACTACCAGCCTGAGAGTAAGCTGAAGAGTATGAAATGGAAACATCTTCAGTCTCTTTGGGTCAGAACTGACTCAACAGCACTTAACAACAACAACAACAACAAGCAATTACATTGCCATTGTTTGTTAAGTGCTGTCAAGTCATCTATGAACCATAGTGACCCTTTATTGGGTTTCCAAGGAGTGGCTGGTGGTTTTAAACTGCCAACCTTGCTGTTCAAACTGACCTTGTGGTCCAGAGCCTCATCCTACAGGCAATTACATTAGCAAACAATAAATCAATCAAAAGGAAAGCCAATAACTCCTAAAGACAAAGATAATTTATTTCAAATATTCTACATTATTTTAAATGTTCTGTATTCAACAAAAAAATATGTGTAAGGCATGCAAAAACACTGGAAATGGCCCCGATACTAGGGGTGGAAGAATGGGTTTAGTGATGCACTCAATGCAAACTCTCTCTGAGCAAGCAAAGACATTGGATTTATTACACAGAGACTTTAACTCAGCTATTATAAGAAAGTTCAAAGACTTGGCAGAAATCATGTTTAAAGACCATCATTTGTCTGATAGTTTGTCATACTGCGGTGGCTTGCATGTTGCTATGATGCTGGAAGCTATGTCACCAGTAACTGAAATAACAGCAAGTTCACCCAGGGTGGACAGGGTTCAGCTGAGCTTCCAGACTACATAAAATAGGCTACATAGAAGGAGAGGCAGACTAGTTCTGAATACGTAACTATCGAAAATCTTATGAATAAGAGTGGGATATTGTCAGATATAATGCAAGAAGAAGAAAACTTTAAGAATTTGTTGCTGTTGTTGTTGTTACATGCCATCAAGATGGTACTGACTCATAGCGACCTTATGCACAGCAGAATGAAACACTGCAAGATCCTGGGCCATAGCACCAGAATATTGTCATATATAGTGACAGATGATGAGCGCCTCAGGTTGGAAGGTACTTAAAATATGACTGAGAAAGAGCTGCCTCATCAAAGCACAGTTGACTGTGATGATGGGAATGGTGTAACATTTTGGAGAGCTTCTTTTGCAATGTGGCAGAAATCAAAATGAAGAGAAACAGCTGCAAGCATCCATTAATAATCAGAACATGGAATGTATGAAGCATGGATCTAAGAACATTGGAAATTGTCAAAAATGACAGGAAACACATAAAGATTGATATCCTAGACATCAATTAACTGGAATGTACTGATGTTGGCCATCCTGATTCTGAAAATCATATAGTTTATTACAGCAAGAACTACAAATTGAAAAGGAATGGCATCACATTTACCATCAAAAAGAGCATTTCAAGATCTATCTTATAGTACAATGCTCTCTGTGATAGGATAATATCCAAATGCTTACAAGGAAAACCAGTTAATACCACTATTATTCAAATTTACACATCAGCCACTAAAGCCAGTCCACCACTTGTCTATCAGTTTGTCATACACTGTGGTGGCTTACGTGTTACTGTGATGTTGGAAGCTATACCACCAGTATTTGAAATACTAGCAGGGCACAACCATGGTGGACAGTTTCAGCTGAGCTTCTTGACTTAGACAGACTAAGAAGAAGGAGAGGTGAGCTACTTATGAATGTTTAATCACTGAAAACCTTATGAATAGAAGTGGAACACTGTCAACACCAGAACATTAAATACAGAAACCTTATAAAGAGCACCAGAATATTATCAGATACAATATCAAAAAGATGAGCCCCTCAGGTTGGAAGGCACTCAAAATACAACTGGGAAAGAGTGCCTCCTCAAAGCACAGTGTGCAATATCGTATTATGTGCAAGCAAAATTTTGCTAAAGGGATTTCATAAAACAGCACATTGGCAGGAAACTGTCAGAGGCTCAAGCTGTATTCAGACAAAGATGTAGAACAAGGGATATCATTGCAGACCTCAGATGGATCTTGCTTAAAGCAGAGAATACCAGAAAGATGTTTACCTGTGCTTTACTGACTATGGAAAGACTTCTGACTGAGTAGATCATGTCAAGCTATTGTATGAGAATGAGTGTTCAGGAATATTTAATTGTGCTCATGAGGAACCTGCACATAGACCAAGAGGTAGTTGTTAGAACAGAAAAAAGGAACACTGAATGGTTTAAAATTAGGAAAGGTGTGCGCCAGGATTGTATTCCTTCACCATATTGATTCAATCTGTACATTTAGCAAATAATAAGAGAAGATGGATTATATGAAGAAGAATGTGGCATCTGGATGGAAGGAAGACTCATCAACAACTTACAATATGCAGATGATACAACCTTTCTTGTTAAGATGGAGAAGAGAACTTAAAATTCTTACTGATAAAAATCAAATACCACAGCCTTCAGTATGAGTTGTACATACCTCAATATAAAGAAAACAAAAATCCTCATCTACAGACCAATAAATAGCATAAGGATAAATGGAGAAAATATTGGAGTTGTCAGACTTCATTTTGCTTGAATCCACTATCAACACTCTTGGAAGCAGCAGTCAAGAAATCAAACTCCATATTGCATTAGGCAAATGTGCTTCACAAGACCTCCCTAAAGTGTTGAAGAGCAAAGATGTAGCCTGAGAACTAATGTGTATCTGACCTAAGCCATGGTATTTTCAATAGTTACATATGCATGTGAAAACTGAACAATGAATAAGGAAGACTGTAGAAGAATTGAAGTCTTTGAGTTACTGTATTGGAGAAGAACATTAAAAGAA